CAGGGGCCGTGTGTGGTTCTCAGTTACATCTTCCGAATTAACCCTGTCTCTTCTGCTTAAAACAAAGGGGTATCACCCAGAGCTGATACCTTTTGATTACCTTTGAAGAGTTTCAAGAGTTTTTCTCTCTTACCCCCGGCCCACCAGGCTCATCTGTTTCCCGGGTAAACCCAGCTGTTTCTGCTGGCCCCCTGCCCATATATTTTTAAACATTTTTTTGACTCATGGGGAAAGATATTGTCCATTCCCCTCTAAATTTTAATGTTCCACCTTTTCGATTTTTGGGTAAGATGTTAAAAACCAAACCACATAGAACCCCGATCAGAGATCTAAAAACTCCAGACCTCTTTTAGCCACTACCACCAAACCCACAAAAAATTTCCCCCAAACTAGGATACATTCCCCTCTTTTTCAAATTTAACCCTTTTCGGGGAATACTAAAAACGAAATTTACGATTTGCAAATAAATTTTTCCCCCCCCATAAAAATAATGAAAATACAATTAACCATTCCCGACACCCAAATTTAAAAAACAAAAAAAATTTTTACATAAATTACATGTATACTAAACGACAATGGGAAATTATAATGAACATTAACAGCATCCCACCCCCTTTTATTAGATTTTTCTTTGTATAACTGGGGGAGGAGAGAGAGTGGATGTTTATATTTGGAAAGGGGGAATCCCCTTCCAGCAACCCTCGGGTAAAATTGTTTTTTCGGGGGTTGCTTCTCTTCTCTGTTTCAATGCCACAGGACCACCTTGAGAGTCACGGAGTCCTTCTCGCAAAATAACTGTCCAGAGAGCTCTTTTTTCTGGCGTCCTTTAACACTTCCCTAAAATGGCCCAAAGACTTTGTCACGTACATTTTCCAACAGGGGCTTGCAAAAACCCTTTGTTAGGGTATGTTTCTCCTTAAATTTTTCCCATTTACCCCCACTTTTTCAAAAATCCCCTTTAAATTTCTGAAGAGGACCTTCTTCCATCTTCTTCCCCCTCCCTGCGCAAGTTCTGACTGGATCTGTTGCTCTTCCTCTAAAGCTCTTGCAGCTCCCAGGGTGAGCTCTTCTTTTGGCTTCCACCAATTCTTCCCATCCTCCAAACCACATCCAACCCCATGGGAAATCCCCAGTTTCCACAATTGATTTTACAACAGCAAAGGCCTCAGGGCAGTCCCAAACCCTTCAAAATCCCCCTTTTTGACACAATCGGCCATAATTTTCTCCAGGCAGAGTTTAAATCCTGGTAGTCCCCCCCCCAGGCCATCCATAAGGTTATGCAATGGGGGATGCTGAAGTGTTCTCTCCAAAAAATTCCCTTTGGGCAAGTAGTGTCTGTGGTCACATAAGCACCTGTGAAAAATTTCTTTTTGTTAGGTTTTTTAAAGTTTTAATGACCTGCTGGTCCATGGGCTGAGGAGAGGAGGGAAAATTCGGGGGCAAGAACTTTCTTTGGGGATGAACCCAAACCCTCGAAAATTAGGTATCCAATTTGGGGGATAGCAGGTGCATTGTCCTTTTCTAGCAGGTACTTGAGACCAATTCTTTTTTAGGAGATACTCCTTCACACTAGGGCCAAAAACACTTCTTGAACCACTCGACGAAAAATTTCCCCCGTGACCCATGCCTTCCCATTAGATTTCCAAAACACACACAGTTTACTCTTCATAACATTGTTTTTCCTGAAACACTGGGTTTTCGATAGTAACTAGTAAGGCTTCACTTTTAAATCCCCACTAGCATTAGCACAGAACATTAGCGTCAGCCCGTTTTCATAGGGTTGTGGGGCCTGGGGATTGCCTTTTCCTCTTGTGTAAGAAGGGCTCTTTTGGATTTTCTTTCCCAAAAGGGCCTGTTTCGTCACAATTGAACACTTTTTCAGGTTTCAGTCCTTCAGCCCTTTTATGTACTCCCGGAAATTTATGCACATATTTTTCAGCCGCCTTGTGGTCCGAAATGGCAGCCTCACCATGCCTTACCACACTGTGTATGCCAGTACGGTTCTTAAATCTCTCAAACCAGCCTTTGCTGGCCTTAAATTCACTCACATCACTAGTTGCAGGAAATTTCTTTACCAATCGTCATGCAACTGCCTAGCCTTTTCACAAATAATCGAAGTCATAAGAGTATCTCCTGTAATTGTTTCTCATTTATTCCACACCAATAATAACTTCTCAACCTCTTCGAGTACTGGTGATCTCATTTTTCTTAGGGATAGTTTTCCCCCTTTGCAACAGCAGCATCCTTGATTTCCTTTTTCTTGGCCACTATGGAACATAAGGTTGTGTAGGGTTTCTTATAATCCTGGCCAGTTCGGTCACACTTGTACCATTCATATTGTTCAATGATGGTTTTCTTTAAAATTTAATATAATTTTTTTCACCTTCTTTACCAGAGGCTTGGCACTAGGAGCTTTCTTTTGGAGCCATGGTAGCTTATTTAGTACTTGCAAGCACTAAAATAAATGGAATATTATGAAAATATTTCACTGGAGGCACGTGAGGGGGGCCTTCGCTCATTGGTAAACAATGCCAGACTGGCTGCTGCCACGGCTCACGCCGTGGGTACGCATCCCGGACGAACTACGACTCGCAAGTCAACCTATGAAAAGCGAGCCCAGTTTATACGAAAAATATCCCTATGATTGCGAGAACTACGAAAAGCGAGGGACCACTGTATTTCTACACCACAGGAAGGTTAGCATAGGCACCAGTGTGACCACAAATGCAAGTTTTTACAGACGAATCTCCAGCTAGCGTGGCCGTGACGAATTCTAGCTCCAGTCCCCTCAAAGCCGTCAACATGGCTCACGAAATTGTGTCATTACGATTTCGTGAGTCATGTTGACGGCTTTGAGGGGACTGGAGCTAGAGTTCGTCACGGCCACGCTAGCTGGAGATTCGTCTGTAAAACTTGCATTTGTGGTCACAGTGGTGCCTATGGCTAAACCTTCCTTTGGTGTAGAAATATACCTAGTTGGATGAATCTTATCGTGGCTAGCTGGTCCAGTGGCTAACGTGATGGTCTGGAGTTTTGAGACTCTGATTGCGGGTTCTACCCCCATCCGTGGTATGGTTTGTTTGCAATCGTGTCATTAAAGATTTCGTGAGTCAAGATGTTGAATAATCTGGGACCCTGAATGTTGATACAGTGTTCTCTTATTGTCCCCACCACACCCTGCTCCTCACTGGGTTTATTTTACACTTTCCCCATATCTCTTCACTCCAATATGTTGTTATGGCAGCGTGAGATTTGGACCGGGCCCCTCTAGAAACTTTCCGGGGTATAATTGTCTGTCCTCTCCTCAGCCCATGAATACAGTTCAAACTTAAAGGGTTTTTTCCCAGTAATTTAATTTGCTTTCTAGCTCAGTGTGAGTTTAAAAAATCTCTGTTTTTGTTCCAGCTCTGATATTTTTTTCCGCTTGAAGGGGGCCGTCAGCACTGAGAAAATTTTCTAAGTAAAAGGAGCATGTGATTTAAAAGAGTGTCACTGTCACATTTTTTCCCCATTTTTTGAAAGTTTCAATACCACCTGTCATTTTCCTGGCTGTCGTGATTTTTTGTTTGTCTTTTTTTCTTTCAACACACCGGCCGACCCCCTTCTAGGGGGGAGGGCCCCAAAAAAGGAGAAAAAAAGTTTCCCCTTTTCATTTAGTAATATATACAGGAGAAGGGGTTTAAGCATTTCCCGGATTTTTTTGCCTTTTACGACAGGGCCTTACAGAGGTTGAATTCTGTTCCACTTCCCCATGGAGATAAGAGGAAATAAACAAGAAAAAGAACAGAAAGAAAATAAAAAGAAAACCCGGGGGGTGTGTATATATATGCTTGTAATGAAGTGGTAGTGCACCAAAGGGTGTAAGTAAAAGTTTTTTATGTTTTTAAAAAGAAAGGTCCGTACA